GCTAGCTGCGGCCAATAGCTAATAATAACATGCTAAAATTAATCATGTGTTACTACTCATTAAAACCTTAAAGTAATCAAAAAGTAATCAAAAGTAATTAGTTACATTACTTTTTTAAAGTAATCGAAAAAGTTACACTACAATTACATTTTAAACAAGGTAACTTGTAACTGTAACGGATTACATTTTTAAAGTAACTTACCCAACACTGCACGTGTGGGTGCGGCGGACCCTGGGTGGGCCTTTGACAGTGTGATCAAACCCATCAGACTACAATAAAACGCCTCCTTCCCGCAGAATCTCAAAATGAAGTGGTGCCAAACTAGCGGTGGGTGATATGGCTCATACAAATGATGATATTTCAGAGCATTCTGAACGATAACAATACATTTTCCAATATGACAACCAAACAAAAAAACAAGAAATCATAGGTATTCATTTCACAAACTTACCTTAAAAGTTTGCTTTGCAGTATTTTAGAAAAACTCAAAAGACATCAGCTAATTAGCTAATCAGCTAATTAGCTACAATGACTTTGTGTAGTCGTTTTTATGGTATTCTTCATGCAGGTCTTTGGGTGTGTCTATGGTCTAGTTTCTTAACAAGATGATTGAAACCTCTCTTCTCTACAGTTTGGGTTGGTATCATATCTGGCCAAACAAATTTTGACAGCTCGGGCTATATCGGCGATGCCATGCTAACTAGCTTACGTTGTTTTGGCTGAATAGTGCTAGCTAGGCTTTCAGAAAATCCTGGTAAATATTCGGGTGCTGATGCTTGAGATGGTAAAATAAGTTAAATGTATATGAAATGACAGGCTTCTTGCATTCCTTTGCATATTACCGTGGTCTGTTCTGTATCGGCTCGTTTGTGACCCAAAATACGTCCTTTCTTGCTAATGTATTCTTCATCAGCGACTCTTTCAGCCATGTTTGGCTTCACCTTTACAACTTGAATATCGCTGCAGGACCCAAGTGAGCGTAGTCCTCTGCCTGGTGGGGTGATATACCGTATTTATGCCATGAAATTAGGATATCATGATGTCATTTATTTTCCCGGGCAATTAGTTTTTACTGGTATTATGGGGAACATGATATGATATGGCCAAGGCAGATGGCTGCCCACCCTGAGCCATGGTTCTGCTCGAGGTTTCTGCTTGTTAAAAGGCAGTTTTTCCTTGCCTGTGTCGCCTAGTGCTTGCTCATGATGGGAATTGTTGGGTTTCTGTAGTTAACTTCAGAGTAGGGTCTGACCTGCTCTGTTTGGAAAGCGCTGTGAGACAACTGTTGTTGTGATGTGGCGCGATATAAATAAAATTGAATCGAATTGAATTGAATATGGCCCAGGCCTAAGCCAAACAGAGGTGGGACTCCCCAAGCAAACCAGCCCGGGCGGTGCCCTCTTTTTCTTTAAACGGGCATGCTTAGACTCAGCCCCCCCCTTGACCTGGTAACCTACAAGTTACCTGGTTTAAAATGTAATTGTAGTGTAACTTTTTCGATTACTTTAAAAAAGTAATGTAACTAATTACTTTCGATTACTTTTTGATTACTTTAAGGTTTTAATGAGTATTAACCCATGATTAATTTTAGCATGTTATTATTAGCTATTGGCCGCAGCTAGCAGTTCAAGGCTAACGTCTTGTTAATGATCATACAAATAAATAAATACATAAATAAATAAATAAATCGGAGACAAGTCAGTCGTATCCGGATACAACATTTTAGTATCTATACTTTTTAAAGTATCGATACTTTTGACAACCCTAATCTGAAATGTAGGACATGTCCGGGAAAAAGAGAACGTATGGTCACCCTACAGTTGGGTAGGCTAGGTAGGCTAGGCTAGGCTAGGTCATAGACATCGATAAACGTTTGTCATGCATCAACACCAAACAGTCAAATATTAGTAAATCAATACGCTTCGTCTATCAGTGAGTTGCATATTTTGCAAAGGTTTTTCTTTATATTTTTTAAAAAATGTAACTAAATTTGTAATTCTTAATATTTTCAGAAGTAACTGTAACTCAATTACATATTTTCTCATTGTAACTGTAACGAATCACAGTTACTCTTTTTTTGTAATTAAATTACGTAACATCGTTGCATGTAATCCGTTACTCCCCAACACTGTCCACAGGTCATGTCAGCAGGGAGGAGTGCTGATGGGAGGGAGGTGCAGATTCCCCTCCAGCAGGCGTCGCCCTCCCTCGCAACGCCCCTCTCTGCGGGGCCCGTGGTCAGCGCGCCCTGCCACCGTTCGGCCAATCCCTGGTCCCCCAGCGAGTCCCCTGCCCCGCAAGGTAACGCCCCTCAGGCGCCGGGCTCCTCAGGTGAGTCGGCGAGCAGGCGACTGAAGGGTCCCTGTCTCTGCTCGCCCAGCCGCCCCCGCAGGTTTCCTGCCTCTCCGCGGGGGGTTCCGAGACCGCTTCGTAGAGACCCCCGAAGCCAAGTACTGCTGCGAGGCCTGCGGGCTGGTCCTGTGTCAGCCCCGCCAGACGGAGTGCGGCCACCGCTTCTGCCAGAGCTGCATCAGCGACATCCTCAGGTGAGCCCCGCCTCAGACCCAGCCCTCAGGTCCGGTCATGCGACGCCGAGCTCAGCCACGTCCAGCCACAGCATCGTTTCTGATCAGTCTGTTGATCATAAAGATCGTACAGCCTCATTTGTGGAGTATGATCTGATCAAATATGATAAAATGATCTAATCTAATATGATATAATCTAATCTAATATTATATAATCTAATATGATATAATATAGTATAATATAATCTGTAGGGCTGTAAAGTCCTGGTCAACTGGTCAACCTATTGGTTGATAGCATTTTGGGTCGACCAAAATTCTGATTAGTCATCCAATTTCCCTGTTAATTTCATACAGTCTGTGGTTAATTCCGTCAGAAGGAAAGTACCAAGTGCTAATGGGGGTGTTCAGAGCAGCCCTGTTTCACGGGCAAAGGCCTGTCTTCAGGGAACACCCCCCCTTGTTTTCACTATTTTGGATAAGCCCCACACGGTATAAACGGGAGATTGAAACACGTTCGACGTCCAAAGTTTTGCTGAATATTTATTTTATTTTGACCGTTTAATTTACAGTGACTCCTCCTGGCCAACCATGTCAAAGATATTGGCAGACTTTTCAAAAATAGATGGCGGGAACAAAGTTGAATTTTTCCCGACCCGATTTCTTTCAATCGACCAAGAGTTTCTTTGGTTGATTACAGCCCTAATAATCTGGATCTTGAAGGGGATCTTCAGCATCAGTCTGATAACCAGTTGGAGACCAGCATAGTCCCAGATCCACATTCCACCAGTCAGAGAACCGTTAAACCCAACTGCATTTTTCCTGGCTTTGCAATCAGTATTTTTAAATCTTATGGAACGACTGTGTTTTGAACCCCTTTGGAAATGTGACTCAGTCGTACTCTGAACTAAGACACGCACCATCCAGGCTTCTCTCTAAAGGTTTAGCCTGAGATCAGACTGTGTGGATCTCCACAGTTCTTGTTAAATGGCACATAAAAGGCAAACCCCCTGACAACTTGTTTTCTGCCCCGCAGCCATCAAAACCCGGTGTGTCCGGCGGACATGGAGCCTTTGTTCAAAGACAAGGTAGGCCCGCAGTGGCAGCCCAACGCCGGCTGCCAATGGCTGATCGTTGGTCGGTTTTTGACCCCCGTGTGCTTTGGCTTTCAGATCTTTAGGGATGTTTGCTGCCATCGTGAAATTATGGCGCTGAAGGTATTCTGTCGCAGTGAAGCCAAAGGCTGCCAGGAGCAGATGAGTCTGCATCAGATACCAGTGAGCATTTACAATCCCACTAAGGGGGTATTCCACTGGTACCCACTCAGCCCCACTCACCTCACCATGACTCGGCATATGGGGTAAACAAAAAGCTGGCCCGGCCGGCCTCTGAAGTCATTTGCATGCAACTAAAGCAACAATGGAGGAGGTGCTGGTCGGGATTTACCAGTTGAACCTCGGTCTAGGCTCATGTATTCCGCATTTACGATATCGGCCAACCTCCAACGGGGTAGGCGCTAAAACTGGAACTGTTGGGAGGCGCCAGCAGAGAAACCGAGTGAAGATGAGTGGGTACCGGTGGAAAAGCCCCACGTGTGACTGGACGTCGGGTCCTGCGCGGGGCGTTCCCGGAGACACACCGCCTCTCTGCTTTTCCCCAGGAGCACCTGAACGTGTGCCCGTTCTTCGAGGTTCCCTGTCCGCTGGGGAAATGCAAAGAGCGAATGATGAGGAAAGACATTCCTGACCACCTGGCATGGAAATGCAAATACAGAGAGACCACCTGTGAGTTCTGCACGACCAAGATGCCCCTGACCGACCTGCAGGTGAGTCGTAGTTGTGGAGGGTCGTAGAGGGTCGGACATGGCTGTTGGAGTAGTCTCGCTCCTCTCTGAGCGGTCCAGTGCTGATGGCTGTCAGAGTTCTGGAGAACTCCAGCACATGTTCACACTGTGTGGTAGCACTGGGCTCCCCACTGGGTCCAGCTGTGCTCCCACTTTGTGCCACTCAGTCTTTGTCTCTACTTCAGACGATCTTTTTCATATCCCGACTGAAAACAGGTCTCCTTTCTCAATGTGTCATTGCTTAGCTGCCTTTAAACAGAGGTGGGAATAAAGATATGGAGGTGTTTGCCTCCTTCGTTACTCTGATCTACAGTCTAGGGTTGTCACGATACTAACATTTTCAACTCGATACCGATACTCAGGAAAATACTCGATTATCGATACCATTTTCGATACTACAAGGACAAAAACAAAGACCCCAAAATTTAGCTGAATTTTGACAGGTTAGTGTCTTTGGTTTCAAACTGACCTATAACTGATGTTATGGTGGCCCACATTAATGACCCTTACCCTAACCCTCCACCCTTCATAATTGTGAGAAATAAATATTTTTTGCTTAAACTTTTTTGGACTTATTGTTCAAACCTATGTAACATACACTATTTTAACATAATATTATGTATAGAGTTTAATTCAGTGTTTGCAAGATTAATGTAACTATTTTGAAATGAATGTCTATATTGCCATGAAGCAATTATCGATACTTTTGAAAATGAGTTCCGTATCCGGATACAATGTTTTAGCATCGATACTTTTTTGAGTATCGATACTTTTGACAACCCTACTACAGTCAAACTCACATCTGTGCATCAAGTGACCAAAGTAATCCTTCTCAGCCAAAGTTGGGGGGTGATTCCTGTTAAAAAAGGCCGGTTCAGTTAGACCAAAAGACCTCCATGTAAATACATTCCATGCTCCAAATGCTGCTGTTATATAAATAATGTTATTCGTTCGGTGCGCTGCAAATTAGTGCAACAAACTCTCAGTTCTTTGTTCATTATTTAAGGATGAAAGAACTTGAAATATTTGATAGAAACAAGAGTCAGTCAGTTATTTTTTTTATTTGATTCGATTTGTGCCGTCATAGCGTCTCAAGCCCAATTTGACTGCTCCAGATCAGTATTGTATGATCAAACAAGACTGTCTATCCTTCCAGCATCCTTCACATGAACAAGCCTAACATGTTTGAGTCAAAAGTAAAAGGAACGTTATCTCTGCGGCCATGGTGAGGTTAAAAACTGCAGCTCACAGTTTGCAGCTGAGCCACTCAGTCAGAAATTCTCCATCATGTCCATGGCTTTCAATCAAGAAGGATAGAGACATAAACATATTTTGGGAGAAAATGTTGAAAAGTAGACCACCTTATCTTTTAGACTGTGGTTTAAAAGTACACACACACTCCAGGCAAAAAATCCAGGAAATGATGTATTTACTCCAGGATACTAAATGTCCCCTTTTCCAAGAACCTCCATGGCCATATTGCTCCTCATGCTTATCCAGAATTAATTTGGAAGGGACTGAACCTTTAAAAGGCACTTGAAGGCACCACCTTACCCTCTCATTGTTCTATGCCTAACTGGGATTATTCGAGCCAGTTTCTTTGTTTACTATCCAGTTTGATGTGTCCAGCCTTTGTGGTTACATTTGAGAAACATAAGGAAAGAAAGAAATGAAATAAAGTTCTAGACAAAAAGAAGGTAGAAATAGTTAGATGGTGGTCCCATCTCTGTACCCCCTATGTCCACTATGTCCCCTGATGTGTTCACCTGCCTGATCACTGTCCTGGCCTGTGTGCTTTGGGTATTTTTGGTCCCTGGGTCACCAGGATAGTTACAGGACCCTTCGAGCATCCTGGAACTCTGCAGAAAGTCCTGGTCATGGGACTGACTTAGTCCATACTATGTTGATAACAGCAGGGTCCACTTCACATGGGGCATAGATTCGGCCTTGTCATCGTCCAGTGTGAGGGTTAGTGGACTTGAGAGGGAGACGGCATCAGCTGGAGGAGATGACCGTTTGAGGAACCGGCCTCAGTGGTGATGATTCAGATACCCGCTCTGCTCTGTCACATGACCCGATGACTTCAGCTTTCAGGGCTCTTTGGACTGGAATGACTGACTTAAATAACTGAGGAGTGAAACTGGTCAGGAGACACCTTCACAGTCTGACCGTGTGCATGGGTCACGACTTCTGTCTGGCCAGTCTGGATTTTCCAGCCCAACTGGTCATATTCTAAGTATTCTGCTCAGATTTCCTGGCAGGCCCGCCTCTGTTAACCAGTGTTTCATGTTAGTTTCATTTGTCTGTGTCAAACTGTTTGCAGAAACACAAAGAGACCGTGTGTCCAGCGTTCCCAGTGTCCTGTCCCAACCACTGCTCCTTCTCCTCCCTGCCCCGGAGTGAGGTACAGACCCCCCTGGGGTAGCCCCTGCCTGCTGCCTTATCCGCAATCTTTCCACACACACAGTATCAGTACCGGTGCTATGAATGACCGGCTCTTTGGTTGTTAACAGCTGTCCAGCCACCAGCACGACTGTCCCAAAGCCCAGGTCAGCTGCCAGTTCCAGCGCTATGGCTGTACCTTCAAGGTTAGTCCTCCCACTTTGTCATCTTCCTCTTTTCAACCCCGTTCAGTGTTAATCAGTGCTTCTTACGCTGCTCTGGTGCGTTGCGTTTCAGGGTCTGAATCAAGACATGAGGCAGCACGACTCGACGTCCGCAGCTGAGCATCTGAGAATGATGGCCAACAGGAACAGCTTGCTGGAGAACAAGGTAGTTGTAGCGAAAAAAGTGGCTGCCTGGGCTTGCAGAAGGTCCTGTGTGCGTTTGCCTGAGGAGTGTCTGTGCTTGCAGGTGGAGGACGTCAAAGGGGAGCTCATGGATAGATACAAGGTGCTTCCTGCTCTGAGCAGCCGGCTGTCTGAAGTGGAGAACCAGAACGACGAGCTGAGAGAAAAGAATCGACAGATAGAGCAGAAACTGGCCTCCATGCAGGTATCACAGCCGCAGTTCAACAAATATCCTCTGAAAGTGCACACATAGAAAAGATTCCGATATGTCCACCTCTGAAAACCAGACAAAATGGGGACAGTGAGGAAAATGTAGAAAAAAAGATTGTTCTGTTTTCACTGTTTTCACTCAGTTGGGGGCCTGGATCAATGACTACTTGACAAACAGACCACAATTTGTGAGTCTGAAGGACTGTGAGTCTAACCAGGTCGTTAGCAGCACAGGAGCACCACAGGGGGCTGTACTCTCACCACTCCTATTCACTCTGCACACTTCAGACTTGCAGGACAGGTCAGACTTCTGTCATCTACAGAAACACTCTGCATCTGCCGGGTGTCTCAGGGATGGACTAGAAGCTGAGTACAGAGAGCTGGTGGACCGCTTTGTGGCACGGTGTGGAAACAATCAGCTCACCTTGAATGTGAACAAAATCAAGGAGATGATTATAGATTTCAGGAGAAAAAGGGTTTGATCAAACCCTATTTCTGTCATGGGACATGAATTGGAGGTGGTTAAGGATTATGAAATACCTGGGTGTTCATCTAGATAACAGACTTGACTGGAGACTCAACACTGGAGCTGTCAACAAGATGGGACAGGGCAGAATGTGCTTCTTAAGGAAGCTGAGATCCTTCAATGTTTGCAGCCAAATCTTCCAGTCTGTTGTTGCTGTCGTCCGTTTGGGCGGCAGCATCAGAGCCAGGGACCTAAAAAGGCTCAATAACCGGATCCAGAAGGCTGGTTCTGTTCTGAGGACAACTGCGGAACCCCTGTAGATGATGATGCGAAGAAGGATTTGGTACATAATCAAGAACATTACGGACAACCCTGAGCATCCTCTTCATGACACTGCATTTGGAAAACAAAGTCTCTTCAGTCAGAGGCTTCTTCAGATTGGTTGTGAAACGGGCCGCTACAGAAGATCTTTCCTGCCCATAGCCATCACAATCCTCCTTAACTGAATGAGTTACATCAATATTCAATCTCCTTCTGGGATGTGTTAAGTATTTTTCAAGCGAATTGAAATCACTTTTCAGAAAAGTCAGGGCAGAGGCTCTTGTCCCTCCTGGGAGGCCTATGTTCCTCCTCCAGCTCTCTTGAAGTATGCAGCACTACATGCTGGTGGTAGTTTCAGAGTTCTCCAGTATTCGCTGTTGGGGACAGGTCAGGACTGCCTCAGACCAGACCAGTACCCTGCTTTGGACTTTTCCTGGAAAAGATGCGTCCTTAAAGGCAGCGCATGATCTGGTTACTGATAGGTCAGAAGACAACCCTGTATGCAATTTCAGAAGAACAGTACAAAATCAGAGGCTGACGTACTGACAACCATGTTTCTTTGTGGCCCAGTGTGTAGGAGTTCAAACAGTCCTAAAACGGAATGAGACCTCCCTCCGGATGTGCAGCTCCTTCTCCCTTTTTACTCATTCTGCGGGGTGTCCTGACAATGGGCTGGAGGTGATGTCAGAAAAATGGCAGCTAATGATTAGATTTCCTCAGTCCTGTAGAGGACAGCTGTCATCCGTTACAGTAGCAGCACACAAAGTTACTAACAGTTGCGCAAATGGAAGAAGAAAAGATGCAGTCACTCAGGCGCTTTGAGGTTGGTGCCCTCGGATGTTGTTTCCCCATTTAACACGACTGTTTTCAGAGGCATTCTGAACGCTCTGACTCTGAGACAGAGGTGGACGTGTGTTAATACCATGGTCTGATCGCAATGTTTTGGATTGTGTTATAGACTTTCTGCATTGTTACCATGTATAACTCACTGGAAGAGGCAATATACCGAAAAGCAAACGGGGAATAAATCTTTTTCAGTTCTAATGTGACAGAATAGTTATTAGTAGTGGTTTTGGAGCCAATAATCACGTCATGAAAAAAATCTGATATGGAGACAATGGCTATGATGCAGGTGCATGCATGCTGAGACAAAGGATGTTGGTCCACTTCAACGGACCAGTCAAACTGATCACTTTGGATTGTGGGTCAGCAGCTAGATCCTATTTTTTTCATTAGCTTCTGAATACTTTAAAAACCACGGGGTATTACTGGGGCTCATGTCAGAACTGAACAGAGTGTTTCTCTTCAATCCCAAACTCTGTGACTATTGAGCTGTAGAAACAATCCAAATGAAGATAATCACGCAGGATTCATCAGCGGCGGAAGCATCATAGTAGCCTCCAAAGTAGCAAAGGAAGAAAGAGATAAATGAAGACTCTTTCTAGATACTTGGTTGGACAGCTTCATCATTAACAGTTACAAATTATTACTTTGAATTACATGTTAAGACCAAGCGGTGCAACCTCTGTGTCTATATGCAGGGGGGATGTCCATCAGGTTAAGTCATGCTAACACTAGAACATGTTCAAATCTTGATCCCTACTATAGTTTTTGTACTCTGTAGCCTAATTGGCCCCCATCTTTTGTCCTGAACAGCCGTTCCTCCTTGTGTTTCCATAGAATTTGATGAGCTCCCACTCCGAGAAGCTGATGGAGTTGGAGCTGGAGCTCCGTTCTCTCCGCCTACTTAGGGATGACATGGAGAACCTACGGGGGACCCTGGAGAACGTCAGGACGAGGCTCAGCGCTCTGGAGCAAGGGGGGCGCGGTGGAAGCGGGTCAACACACACTCTGGGTCAGTCCTTGCTTCTGCGTCTAAGGCCCGACTCGACAAGTTGTAACGTTCGGTCACTGTCATGACTAACCGATGACTGCTCGCCTCCCCTCAGCGTCCCTGGAAACTCAGCTGAGTCGACATGACGACATGCTCAGTGTCCATGACATTCGGCTGGCTGACATGGACCTACGTTTCCAGGTGCTGGAGACAGCAAGCTACAATGGGACTCTGATCTGGAAGATCCGCGATTACAAGAGACGGAAACAAGAAGCGGTGGCGGGGAAGACGCTCTCGCTTTACTCCCAGCCCTTTTACACCGGTTACTTTGGGTATAAGATGTGCGCTCGAGTTTATCTAAACGGAGACGGCATGGGCAAGGGGACGCACCTGTCTCTGTTCTTTGTGGTGATGAAGGGCGAGTACGACGCCCTGCTTCCCTGGCCCTTCAAACAGAAGGTACTCTGCCTCTTGTTTTTTTTAATTTCTGGCCTGGATTTAAAGTATGCCGAAGTATGCTTTTTATGCTTAGAGGCCACACTGACGTAGACTGTGTGTTTTTTGTGTCCTTTAGGTGACTCTGATGCTAATGGACCAGGGTCCCTCCAGGAAACACTTGGGAGATGCCTTCAAACCCGACCCAAACAGCAGCAGCTTCAGGCGTCCAGCAGCAGAAATGAACATCGCCTCCGGCTGCCCTCTGTTCGTGGCCCAGAGCGTCCTGGATACCGGCAGCTACATCAAAGACGATACCATCTTCATCAAGGTAGGGGGCTCCTCTGGGACGGTCAGCAAATGCTTAAGGATTCCGGAATGGGGTTCTCCAGTGCTGACTGATTTGATTCACAGGTTACAGTGGATACCTCTGACCTTCCTGACCCGTGATGTTGTCGTCTCACTGATCTGACATCAGTTCACCAGTGCACTCCCAGTGGAGCGAAGGATGATGGGAAGGATCAGTGATGGCGGAGGCTCCTGGGGCTTAGAGCCACCCCGGCAGGACGGACAGGAAGCAATCATTCAAAGTCAACTTTACAGTAACCGCGAGGCATGTCCTTTTTCGGAACGTCGGTGGACTATAGTGCCATGTGTTTGCGCGCAGGGGTGTGTATGTGTGTGTGAAGGTGTGTCTGAATGGATCTATGCTGTCATGATGTCACCGCGGTGACGTCACTCAGAGTCAAAGGGCCGCCGCAGTGAGGGCGCGGTTGTTACTCGTTAATGATGCTATGCATCGAAAAATTGACTTCCAGTTTTTATCTAATAACTGAGGATGCAGGGAAATCACCACTGCCACAGAGGAGCATCTGGAACCACGGACTACCAGTGAGCAGGACCCAGACGGAAGAGAAGTGCGTATGAACCGAGGAAGAAGCTGAAAGGAAACGGCTCTGTGTTTGTGCTCTCTCAGGATGACCGCTCCCCGTCAGGCTGATGTCACACTAGCTCGTCACCCTCACACACTAGCTTTATCACTCAACAGCCTGACCAGTTCCTGACACACTAACCATATTCGGTCAGGCAAGTTAGTTCCAATCTGGTGACTCGGGATGTCCCGTAGGACGGCAGCAGGTCGTCTACCTGAAGGGCTGGTTTGAATAAGGGTGAGGCTGTTGGGCTCGCCCAGCGTTGCATTCTTCTTAGAATGAACTTGGTTTACAGTCATTGTTTAAGATTTCCGATCTTTTTTTTTCTTTTTTTTTTCGCAATGTGAGATACTAACAGAAATGTTAGGTTTAATATTTATGGCGCAAACGTCGGGGGGGGAAAAGAAAAGATGCTGTCGACAGTGATGACAGATGAACGTATTCATGGTTACTTTGACACCAGAGAGGCTGAAAGTACTGAAAGGACAGAAAAGATTGTCACACATAGATCTGAATACCGTAAAAGTCCACAGTAATTGCCCTGGTCTGAGCACAACCTGAAAAAGACCTCAAGAAAATCTGTACAGACAGGAGACCAGAGACACAGAAACAACCCGGTCCCTGCAAGAACTCTGGAGCACCTCTTTGGCGTGATATTTCAACTGTCCACACATTTAGTCCAATTTTGTTTTCGTTTTTGTTTGTTTTTGTTTTTGTTTGTTTTTTTTGGGGGGGGGGTGTAATTTGCACAGATTGATTGTTTGAAGTGTCAAAATAAAAACAGCTAGAATACAAGGAATTTTTTTCTCTGTCTTTTTTTACTGTTGAAAAGATACATCTAGACACAAAGATGCATGAACGGTAAGTACGCTCAAAGTACACAAACTGGTTATGGAAGAACCCATCCTGGACAGGTCTGTTTTAAAGTCTCTATAATTTCTTTATGAAATTGGAGCAGTTACAAAAAAGTTACAAAAACGCATACTTTACAATGAAAGACACTAAACTTTCCCCCCAAAATAACACATTCAAATAATGCCAGGAAGAATAAGTGGTTATTTAACTGGAATATTGGGAGGGGGACGCATCATATGAAAACAATGCTGCCCACTTAGTGAATCTGAGAGATGACCACATCAATCTCCAGCCATCCTGGTGGGAAATATTCAAGGAAGAGTGTCAAGAGTTAGGTTCTGGACTGCACCAGGTCCTGTCATGAGACATTGGCTAAAGAAACTTATGTTTTTTTTGCATCAGTACCCATTAGTGCGTACTCAGCGCTATTCAGCTGCGCTCATCTGCCACAACTCAAATTTGGTGGGTTTGACCGTGACGTCACGTGATTAAAATCATATTGCAATACAAACTTCTGCCACTCTTTTCTGCTGAAGTAGGGGGCCATTGTCGCTCACCAGAGTGTGTGGGATGCTATGCCTGGTGAAGATGGATTTTTCATGAGTTACGACACCAAGCAACTCTCCTTTTACACATTTCAATTACCACACTGATACCACACTGCTAACATACTGCTACCACACTGTTACCACACTGCTAACACACTGATACCACACTGTTAGCACACTGATACCAAACTGTTACCAGACTGTTACCACACTGCTACCACACTACTAACACACTGTTAGCACACTGTTAGCACACTGTTACCACACTGATACCACACTGTTACCACACTGTTACCACACTGATACCACACTGCTACCACACTGTTAGCACACTGTTACCACACTGTTACCACACTGTTACCACACTGATACCACACTGATACCACAATGTTACCACACTGTTACCACACTGTTAGCACACTGTTACCACACTGATACCACACTGCTACCACACTGATACCACACTGTTACCACACTGTTACCACACTGTTACCACACTGATACCACACTGATACCACACTGTTACCACACTGTTACCACACTGTTAGCACACTGTTACCACACTGTTACCACACTGTTAGCACACTGATACCACACTGCTACCACACTGATACCACACTGTTACCACACTGTTACCACACTGATACCACACTGCTACCACACTGATACCACACTGTTACCACACTGTTACCACACTGATACCACACTGTTACCACACTGATACCACACTGTTACCACACTGTTACCACACTGATACTACACTGCTAACACACTGTTACCACACCGTTACCACACTGATACTACACTGCTAACACACTGTTAGCACACTGCTACCACACTGCTAACACACTGTTACCACACTGATACCACACTAATACCACACTGCTACCACACTGCTAACACACTGATACCACACTGTTACCACACTGATACCACACTGCTA